TTCTTGTCATGCCAACATTTTCAAATACAGCTGTCTCAAAGAGATCTCCCCTGACTCAGTGATCTGAAGGAACCCCCCACCCCAACCACCCTCGATCATCCCACATCACCTTAATTCTCTCCACAGAACTAACCCTGGTCAGATCTTTCGCCACGTGCTTTCATATTGCATGTTCTTCGTTGCATTTTCTTCATCCCCATCCTCCTTCCAGAATATAAGCTATGACTGCGGAGGCCATGTTACATTCCCAGCACCAAGAACCGAGCCTGGTACCTGGAGAGTGTATTAGATTTTTAATTGCTGCATAGCAAATTGCCATCATTCTAGTGGCTTACACCAATACTCATTTATTAGATCGCAGTCCTGGAGGTCAGAAGTCCAGGCACAGGGTGGCTAGGCACAAACTGGCCAGGGCATTAGAAGCTTAAATCGAGGTGTCGCCCAGGCTGAGTTCTTATCTGGAGACTGGTTCCAAATTCCTTCAGGTAGTGAGCAAAGCCCAGCTCCATGGTGCTATGAGACTGAAGTCTCTATTTCCCTGCTGACTGTCAGCCAGAGGACATTCTTAGCTCCTAGTGGCCACCCACAGTCCTTACCATGTGGTCTCCTCCATCTTCGAGCCAGCAATGGCATGTCAACTCCCTCTGTGATTTGAATATCTGACTTCCTCTTCAATAATCAGGTGAAAACTCCCCGTTTTCAAAGGAGTTGTGTGATTGACTGGATAAGTTCCATATCTCAAGGTCAACTAGCTAAGTACATAACATAATCACAGGAGCTAAATCCATCATATTCAGTGTCCTGGGGATTATATAAAACATGGAGACCATGGGACAGGAAATCTTGGGGCCCATTGGAGAATTCTGCCTACCACAGAGGGTATTCTATCAACAATTGTTAAACTAAAAAAATAAGGGAAGTGCTCATCTAAAAATCATAAGTAACTTTGCAAATGTTAGCATTAAAGCAATTATGATTCATAAGGATGTCCCTATAACACCATGAAAAGGTTGAAGTGGGCATAAGTTGCCATGGTCCATCAAAGCAAGGCTATTTTTTCTTTAAGTTTTGAGGCTCAGAAAGATAAAATCTAATTAGTTGACAAAGGCAGTTTAAAACGATATTAACAAAACAAACTAAAACCATAGGCTAATCAGTAAGGCTTGGGGTTCATTTGACTCAGCTACTTATGAGCTCTGAGTTTGAGTCATTTATTTAACATGTCCAGCTCAGGTTTCTTCTTTCTAAAATGGGCAGTGATTTCACAGGTGGTTATGAGGTTTAAATTATTAGATGCCTGTACATTAACTAGTATGTTCTCTAGATCTAGCTTAGCATTTGCTTGATAATTATCTCTCAGTAGTCTGGAGAAGTCAGCTGTTTAGAGTGAAAATTCACTGATTTGTTTCACCCAGGCAAGGTTTTCAGTGGAGGTGCAGGCTAAGAGAAAGAGGCTAAGGGTATATGATCTAATGTCAGAAGTTGCCACATTGAAGACTTTCTTTCTTAGCAAATTCAGTGCAGCCAGTTTTCCCTATAGCATTGGGGGGGGGGGAGGGGGGGGAGAGGAAGGGGAATCTTATTTCTTTAGCTAGGTATCATAGAAGGTAATTGACTAAAGATTAGAGGACATAGTTTAGAGGACATATTTTATTTAAAATACTTATCTTTATATACTGCTGTCTGAGCACAGCAAAGGACCCCTAACATGAGAGAAAACAGAGTGCAACAGAAGAAATCCCAGCCCCGCCACTTAGTAGGTGTGGGATGCGGGGCAAGTTTATATAATCTCTCTGTACCTCAGGGTTCTCATCTGCAAAATGGAAATAGTAATTCGCCACGGGGCTGACGCGAAGACTAAATGATTTGATGTATGCAGAATGCTTAGAACTATGCCTGGCATGGAATAAATGCTAGAAAATATTTATGCTACAACAAAACGAGGATTTCGGGGAACAACAGGAACAGCAGGTCTGCATCTCCTGCTCACTTGGCTTGTTCCCATTTAATAGATAGCAGAAAAGGAAATGGCAGAAAACAGTGCCTACTCTAGTTAAGTCACTTTTCCGTTCCCCCCGCCCACCCCTTTACATGAACTGCAGACAGGAGGTGGGCACTGCACAAGACAGCTAGCAGGTATTACTGTACACCTTGTTATTCTTTAGGGACCAGCCAGGAAGAGACCATTGAAGCTAGCAGTGGCCCTCTGGTGGGACCTAGCCACAGGGAATTTTGATGCCTTGTTGGTTGAACGTATCTGGGAATTAATGCACTGAACCCTTCCTGGATTAGCCATTTGCTGAGCATGGACCCCAGAGGTGAGCAACCCCCTTTTGTTTGAAGGCAGAGTCAGGAATAATACATACGTATGTATGTATGTACGTATGTATGTATGTATGCATGCATGCATGTATGTATGTATGTATGTGGGTATGCATCTGAGTGTGTATGCACATCTTGGGGAGGGGAGACGGGTGTATTTAGAGGCCATATTTCTTTCATTCAAAATGAAATAGCCTTAGTGAGTTCCACAGAAAATATACCTATTCCTGGAACTTGAATTTCTTACTTTATCGAATAGAACAGTGTCGTTAGGAAAGTTGGCATTGCTCTTAGCTGCCAAAGTTATAATATCCAGACTGCTTTGAAAAAGCATCGATAATAAGACAACTTGCTAAGTTTTTCCTCTTGAAATGAGATCACAAATGAGATTCCAAAACTGGGAAGTCCCAGCTGGCTCTCGGTCTGTGTGTGGACTGCTTCTCTGCTCTGTGCTTGCAATGTGAGAGCACAAAGCGGACAGAACACAAAGACTCAGCGCCAAGTCTGGGAGCATATGAACTACTGGGTGAAACAGACAAGGACAAAAGAGCTATAAGGGGTGTTTAGAGGTGCTTTGAGAATTCAGAGGAGTGAGTCACAGATAGTTATTATGGGAATGGCAGTGATTAGCTGAGATCTCCAGACAGCCAGCTCTGGCTTGACAGGTTGTTACACACACCTGACAGTGTTTTCCTCTTCGTACTCCAAACCCTGGCTTCTAGCTTAACCTTGGCTCTCTCAGTGCAGACAGGGGCAGTGTGATTCTTGCCACCCCAAGTCCCTGAGCGATGCTATCATTCATTCATTCATCCATCCCGTCTTAATCAAGGACACGTTAAGCACAGAATGCATTTAGATCACAGTTTGCACTAACATTAGGTCTCTTACACGATAAGTTATCTATTTTATTGTATTAATTTGTAATATTAGCCAACTCTTATCACTTTGGGAATGAATGGAAAGATAAAGAAGATAAACTCCAGTAATTACAAATGAACTTTCTCAGCTCTATTTTGCAGAAAAGGCATTGCAAGTTTGAAAGAGCATGAGCTTGGTGTCATAATCTCGGCATTGACCATGTGTGTGACCTAGATAACTTGTTGAAGCTCATTTTCTTCATCATAATCTGAAAACTAAAGACAACGCATCTTGCAATGTATGTGTTAAATTATATACGCAAAGGGCAAACACTAGTTATTGGAGGAAAGTAAAATAAAATATAGGAGATAAACATATGTGTGCAAAAAGAAAATTTAAATTTTAAAAATAATTTGGAGGTAGGACAAGTCCTCCTAAACAAGTAAAAAAGAAAATCCAGAAACCATAAAGAAAAAGTATAATAGATGTGAATACATAAACTTAACCTCTGTATAACATTTAGCATAAACAAATTTTTTAAAAAGCATATAATAAACAAGGAAAAACATAGTTGCAATATGTATAACTAACGAAGATTAATAGCCATAGTATTTAATGAATCCCTGCAAATTAATAAAAAAAAACAACCCTATAGAAAAATGATCATATATATATGAGCAATTCACAGAAGAATTATAAGTAGCCAACAAAAACTTGAAGAGATTTTCAACCTAGCTAGTTCTTAGGGAACACAGATTTTAAAAATAAGGTGATACCATTGTTTTCACCCACCAGATTGATGAAAAATATTAAATATTGATAAAATCTCTTATAGGCAAATATAGGGGAAATGGGTACTTTCGTAAGCTACTACAGTAGTCTGAGATGGGACTGAGTCAGGGTACCTGCTGCATAGTAGGCTTCACTACTGTGACTCTTGGTTCCAAATATGGGGGAAAGCCAGCTTGAACCAACTTAAGAAAAACAAAGGAAATAATTGCTATTATCATTACAAAGAGACTGGGGTATTTCCTGATTCTCATGTGGTTTGATTGCAGAAACACTGGGAAGCAGAGACTCAGACTGAATTTGGACTCATTCTTTCTGCTCTTCTCTGCATATTGGCTTCACATTTCTCAGATTTCTCTTTCTTGGTGCTGACTGGCTTTCTCCTTTTGGTGGAAAATGTGGCAACCAGCAAATTCTGAGTTTTAAGTTTTACTGTTCTAACCAACAGAACATGACTGTCTCAAGTTTCAAGTTCCCCAGATCCAAAAATCCTAAGGAAGGGACTCACCGACTCTGATTAGAACCAATAATCGATGACCAGAGAGATAGGATTCCTTGAGTCTGGGCCCACTCCTGACCCAATCTACTTCATAGATGAGTATATATTTCCTTGGCAACTCCCACCAGAAGGACAAGAGTAGGAATAATTCCTAAAAGAAGGGAATGCTATTCCCAAAAGTAAAATATGCTAGCCAAATAGGTCAAAATATACAGGCATACAATATCTTTTTTTAATGAATTAGATAATTAAGAGATAACCTGGTACAGTCGATTAGAAGATTATTTAGCAATATCTATCAGTACTAAATGTATGTAACCTACGTCCACTAATTCGACTTCTAGCCATTACCTAAAATATTAACATATATACACAAAAAGAGATTAATTAAATTTTTAACTTATTCAACAAATATTTTGTTATAAACTGCGTGCCTATACTAAGAGCTGGAATATTAGAAGTAAAAGAGAGAAAAATTTTCTGCGTTTATGTTTGAGTGGGGAACACAGACGATAAGCAAGTGATTGGCACATTACAATTGTTTATTATTAAGCATTCTGTCCAATTTCAATTTCTAGGCTTCACAATCTCACAACATAAATGTATTTTCCGTTTATGCTCAGGGAATGTTCATTGCCTTCAAAGCTCCACTTGTGAGACCACGTACACTTGCAACTGGAAATGGTATTCGGTTATGTCTAATTTTTATAGAATTGTACAGTTTACAAAGAGCTTTCTCATCTACCATCTCATTTCTCTCATGCACCAACACTGTGATTTAGGTAAAGGCGGGCATTGTTATTATTTTGGTCATCATTGAATCTCCAGAGCCAAACAAGATGCAAGGTATATATAAAGCAGGCACCAAGCGAGAGTTTGTTGGAGGAATCTAAATCAAGAGGCATAGCTAACGATAAAAGGCCATTTTGACAGCACAGCAAGTCATCTAACCCAAGACCGCTAGTGCCAATTCTTGGGCTTTTCCAGCTATACCATGTTTGCAATTTCTAGAATCATCTAATCATCTAATCACAAGGTATCTTCATTTTACTTAGTAGTTTCCATTCTAAATCTGAGGACCTTGGGGTTTTGCGTTTTTGTTTTTAAATAAATTATGATATTTTGTCGATGATCGATTCACAAAACACGAACTACTCTTGTAAAACCTGGAACCCATAGCAACTAGCGCTCAAAGTATGGAGTGTAGAAAAAAGTGTTGGTGACACTCAGGTCTGAACTTCATGAGAAATCTAAGGCTTATGCTTTAATTTTAACCACATGCATGTGACTCAGACAAGACACTCCCACTCTCTACAAAATGAGGTGATTATTCCAATCAAATACTGATTCCTTCTGCACCAAAACATGATGATGCATCAACATTTTCAGCCACTCCTGTGGGATAATTGTGGACATCGAAGGTTACAGTTTAGTTGAGTCTGAAGAGCAGGGATACACATTGTAAAACAAAGTCATTTCAGGAAGCTCTCTGAGTAATTGAGTGTTTTAGGCTCCCTAGCTGCAAACTTAATTATGACAAAGAACAAGCGTTAGTTCCTACATGTGAAATGAGTCAACAGAGGAAAGTTTATTTTGGGTTCACCCTCTTTCTTGAAGAAGTAAGACTCATCAAATGCTCTGACATGACCTTGCAGATGCCTGGTTAAAGGCAATGGATGTGAACTACTGAAAAGGTGTCTGTTAGGAAATCGCTTTGGGCTAAAGGTCTGCTGACAGAACCACTCCTTAGACGGGATATAACACCATTAGTTACATCCTTCCAGATTACAAAGAATAGCAAATGCACAGAATCTCCTCACCTAATTTTCATGACAACCTCTGCACTGGAAAGGTAATGAGCTTTGGAATACAAAAACCCCTGGTTGCAAATTCCAGTCTTTGCCCTGAATAACCTTGAGTAAGCCATTTAATCTCTCTAAAACTCAATTTTCTTATCTACAAAGTTAGGATAATAATATTTACCTTCCAAGATTTAAGTCACAAATGTATTTAAGCACCTGGTAGAGTCCTGACACCAAATAGATGGTGAGTAAATAGATGGATGTACCACAGTTTGTTTAACCGGTCACCTACTGAAGGGCATCTAGGCTGTTTCTAGTTTTGCCTGTTATAAATACATTTTCTTTGAACATTCATATACAGGCTTTTGTGTGAATATAAGTTTTCATTTCCCTGTGACAAATGCCTCAGAGTGGAATTGCTGGCTTATGTGGTAGTTGTATGTTTAGGTTATAAAAACCTGCCAAACCATTTTCAAGAGTGGCTGTACTATTTTACACTCCCACCAGCAACAAATGGAAGAGAGATCCGGTTTCTTCGCATTCTTGTCAGCGTTTGGTATTGTCGCTATTTATTTGAGCCATTTTGTGTAGTGATATCTCATTGTGGTTTTCATAACGATTTTCATAACAGCTAATGATGTTGAACAAATTTTCATGCCATTATTTTCCACACGTGTATCCTCTTTGGTGAAATGTCTGTTCATGACTTTTGCCCATTTTGTAATCGGATTGTTTTTTTCTTTGTTGTTGCCTTTTGAGAAGTCTTTATATATTCTAGATATTAGTCCTTCGTCAGATAAGTGGATTGCAAATATTTTCTCCCAGTCTGTATCTTGTGTTTTCTTTCCCTTAAGAATGTCACTGTCAAAGCAAAAGTTTCTAATTTTGATGAAGTCCAATTTATCCACTTTTTGAATCGTGATTTTAGCATTATATTGAAGAACAACACTCAACCCCGGGACACAAAAGTTCTCTATGTTCTCTTCTATAAGATTAGTGGTTGTATGTTTTCCATTTAAATCTATGATTCATTTTGAGTTAATTTTTGTATAACGTGTGAAGTTTAGGTTGAGGTTCATTTCTTTGTCTATAGATTACAATTGCTCTAGCACCATTTGTCCAAAAGGTTATCATTCCTCCACTGAACTGCTTTTTCAACTCTGTCAAAAATCAGTTGGGCAACTTTGAATGATCTATTTCTGGACTCAGTCTCTGTTTTAATCTATGTGTCTGTCCCTCGACCAAAAATATCCCGTCTCGATTACGATAGCTACATAAGTGTTGAAATTGGGTAGAGTGATTCCTCACACGTGTTTTCTTTTTCACACTTGTTTCAGCTACCCTAGTTCTTTTACCTTTCCATAGATTTCCCCTTTATTCCTGAAAGATATTTTTACAGGTCTAGAATTCTGGGTTGATAATTCTTTACTTTCATCACTTAAAAAAGGTTGTGCCACTTCTTTCTGGACTCTGTGATTTGGGATGAGAAATTCAGTCATTGAATAGTTTTTCCTGTGTAGATAATGTGTTGGTTTTCTCTCACAGCTTTCGGGATTTTTCTTCATCTTTAATTTTTACATGTATGACTATAACATGTCTTGACATGGATATTTTTTGAGTTCCTTCTGTTTGATACTCACTCAGCTTTTTAAATCCGTAAGTTTGTGTCTTTTGCCAAATTTAGAAAGTTTCCAGCCATTATTTCTTCAAACACTTTTTCACTCTCAACTTCTTTCTCTTCTTTCATTGTAGTCATACAGGTTCCCGAGTCTCTGATCGTTTTTACTTTAGTCTTTCTCTTGTTGTTAAAACTGGGTAATTGCCATTGTTCTTTCTTTCAGTTTCTGCTTCTTTGCCCTGATCCCTCCATTTGGCTGTTGAGTCCATCGAGTTTTTTATTCCGGTTAATGTACTTTGAAGTTCTAAAATTTAAGTTTCTTTATGGCTTCTAATTCTTTGCTGAGGCTTTATTTTTTAATTTATTTCAAGCATGTTTGTAATTGCTCATTGAAGCATTTTTTTCATTGAAGCATTTTTATGATGACTGCTTTAAAATTTTGCCGGCTGAATAGAAGGACAGAAAAAAGAATTAGTGAACTGGAAGAAAGAACAATAAAAATTATTCAATCTGAACAACAGAGAGAGTAAACTGAAAAGAGACAGACAGACAGACAGACATTCAGGGACCTGCATGACTACAATAAAATCTCCCAATATTTGTGACACCAGAATATGGAAAGTGGAAAAGGAGGACAAAGCTGAAAAAAAATGGTTGAATTCTTCCCAAATTCTAACATCTCTGTCATCTCAGTGTTAGCATTCATTATCTTTATTCACTCATGCTAAAGTTTTCCTGGTTCTTGGTGTGATGACTCATTTTCAACTGAAACCTAGATATTTTAGGTATTTTGTTAAGAACTCCAGATTTTATTTCTGCTTTCCGTTTTGGCTGGCTTTCTCTGATGTGACTCTGTCAGGGGAAAAGAAGATGTCGCTTCATGACAGCCGGGTGGAGGTAGAAGGCCTGGTTCCTCACTTTGCCTCTGTTGACACCTGAGGAGGGCAGGGAGCCCCACAGTGCTACCGGGACAAGTGGGAGATTCAGCTTCCCACTAGGCCTCCCCTGGCTGGGAACAGTAAGGGTGCCTTGTGAATAGTCCACCCATGTCCTCCACTGTCACCATGGGGGTTGAGTGGCCTCATTCCCAGTGGATACTGGTAAAGTTTCGACTCTCCACTAGGTCTCTGACGTCAGCCAGGTGGAGAGAGGCAAGGGAATCTCATTACTGCAAAGTGCAGGTGGAAGTCCAAGTTTCACACATGGTCTCCCCTGACACTGTGGATGGAGCGGGGGCCTCTGTGACTGCT